GGAGTAATTTTCCTATCCTTCGAAAAAATTGTTTAAGTGTTCATTGTATGTGTACGATTTAATAATAATGCATACTACGAATACTATTATCAATGTAAGCATGCGTGGGACTATAATAATCACTGAACAGTTCAGTAAAAATTGTAAAAGTTATTTCAAGTCATGAAGATGATTTATCTTATACAGACTGCGACTCGAATATTCTTCATAACATTCTGCTTTTTTATGTATTATTTATGTTGAGCAATGTTAGTCGCTTAAAGTTAGTTGGCAGTTTATATTTATGCTTTGTAAAATGTCACTACTAGTGTAGCAAATATTTTTTAATAAACTGTGCATGTAAAAACTAAACTGTGATAAAAACTGTGTTATAAAAACTTCTCTGTTATATTTTTATTATAAAATAACATAATTTTTGCCACAAGTTCGTTTTAAAGAGAAAGTATTAATTTATTCTGATTGTATTAATTGGGTTTTTGACACCGCTAAAATTTAGTATTATTTGTTAAACTCTTTTGTTGTATACATATAACCATAACATAAATATTTTTTGCCATAATCACAAATTTTATTTTGTGGTATTTTATGAAAACACATTAATTTTAAATTGAAAAAATAAAAAATAACAAATATTTAATTGGCCGAATCAGATAATTATATATATAAAATAAATAAAAATAATCTATAACAAAAACATCCTGCTTTCAGCGTGTTTCAATTTGATTGTTCCGATAATTATTTACAATTGCTAATATAATTGCGTATAATTATCATAATTATTATCGTCCTCGTCCTGCATGATATACATGCGTCCTGCATAATGTGCATGAATAATCGAAATTTTTGTTGATAAAGCTGGCGCAGCAATTTTTTGCGAAGCCCGAGATAAAATCGCAGTCGATAGGAAACGATAGAAGACGCAAGGAACATCTCGTGCACGAATTATATATAGATTTAGGTTTAGGATGCTGATTGCCAGGTACGCCGTATACTTTAATTCGGCAGAATAAGCGACAGACAAGCCGATATTCGCGCGTACCTGCGCACCGACGAATATATTGCGGACCATAGCCTAGCGATTAGGCGATTTCACAAATCGATGTTATATATCTGTACCTGTACATGTAAGTAAAAAAAAAAAAAAAGAAAACAGAGTAATGCGATATCGGCCGCAAAGTCGACCGGGAATTTTCTTGTCTCTTTCCATGAATGTATCGTACTTGTACCAATGCCCCGACACCATAGTAATTAATTAATATCATACCGATTAAGCGGGAAAACGACGTCCGTAGTCACTTTTCGCTTAAGACAGCGATTTCCAAAGATTAATTTTTATTTCTTGCCATAAAAAAGAAAAAATTCATGAATTTTCTACGAATATTCCATAAAAATTTCCCACTTACGAGTGATTTTATATAATAATTTACGTAAATATTTATCATTGTGCTTATTCTATTCGATCAGATATAGTGATCGCTCCGAAAACATCCCCTGATTTTTGGGATGAAAAACATCGCCTTTTGGAAAATGCTGGCTTAAGGTGGCTTTTAGACGCGCGACTAAAAGGGACTATTTCGTGCCGGAAAGTTTTCAGGATCGATAAAGTACCATCGACGCGTTGTCCCTGTCACTTTCGTGATTCACTTTCGGAAACGATTCGTGGACATATTGCCTCGTCGTACTAATGATATAAGTACGTGAGAAAATGTTCCGAGCGTATGATAAAATGAATTATGAAAGCACTGACTATCACGATTGATTATAATATTGTGCGAACAAACGTCAAGAAAGTTTAGGGACATATTGATAGATGTCCAAGTATTATAAAATATTTTGTTCCATCTTCAATATTCAACGCGCGTAATTTATATATAAAATATAAAAAAATTTCCTTTTTCTTAGAAAAAATCAAAAGTAGTAGACAATGCATGATAGAAGATAACATGATTTTGTTAAACTTGTAGCATTTGACAAAAAATATTAAAATATCTAAAATAAATAAAATTAAAATATCTAAAATATATGTATTCTATTTAATCATTTTTCGAGTTACTCTTTCATTTTTTTTAATGTTGAAATTTTTTGTATTTTTATATCAAAAAATAATTGTAAGATTTATTTGTAAAAAAGAATTCTTTCTCAAATAGAAAAACATCGACGAACGCATTAATATTTACATTGTTATTACTATTGTTATTAGTCTATAAGAAATTCTTTAACCGTTCGAATTATTAAACTATTATTTTATATTATTCTTTGCATATTTATGTTTTCATTTTTCATAAATTAAGTTTTTTTATTCGTGAATAAAAATTGTCTGTTTTGCTATACACGTGTTACATATATTTTAGATATAATTTTCTATTACTAACACTTACCTTAATTTATATTCTTCTCTCTCACACATTCGCTCAAGATGTCCACGAATCGAATGCATCCGGAAGCCCCGTTGCGACTTGTCGCTCCTTCTATTTTCGATGTCGAAATCGATGAATCGAATTTGAAGCCTGCAAAGAACGCACGCAATTACAAAACTGTATGCAGAGGATCATTCGTTCAGTGATACAAACAAAAAAAAATAATTCCGAGATGATGCTCCGTTGTTACATGTATTATCGAATATTTGAGAGAAATATGAAAGGTTCAATTTTCGGACACCAAGTAGAAAGCGTCCACGTGATTTCATTGACGATGAGAAATAATTCGACGTGTTAGTTTCTTACGATGTTTTTATCCCGTGTACTAGATCTTTATATATAATATATCGTGCCCGCGACGTTGCTCGACACATTCGATCACTACAAATGATCGAGACAAAGTGTACACACATGTATACATACACAATACACCCACACACATCTACATACACACCACTCGAGCTACCCCTCCTATAGCATGTAACGTGACATATTTATGTGAATTTTTGTCATTTTACTAAAAAACGTATTTGCCGTATAATTAAAACCAAACTTATTATAATAGAGATACCACATACATTCAGCTCCTGCGCTTGGCGTTTTATTTCACGAGATACCGAACTTTTTCAGATTATCACGACCCAATAAGAATGTAACTGTAAAGTGTAATCAATAAAGAATTTTGCCTAATACACGAGAATGTTTATCACCAAGCATCAATCATAATCTCTTTGGACAGCGTTTCTTGACGATTTAATTTCCTTTAAAAAAATAAAGTCTATTTCTCTACATTTCTGTTAATACATTTCAATATCAAAAATTTTAAATAAAATAAAGTTAACATTTCAGACACAAAGAGTTATAAATACAATGACCTCTGGAAATTGGGCCGATAACATCGCAATAATGGCCACGCACAGTTTAACCATATAAAATATGATTTCATATATTGTATTAGAAATAAAATAAAAATATATAGTGATTCTATAAAATAATATATACGCTTGTACAATTAATATTTTTATAGACAGAAATGTAAATACTTGCCTTTTTATATCGCTTATTAAATTTTTGCGTACATTCTTTCGTGTAAGAAATATGGAACAGTTGTCACTGGCCAAATCCATATGAATGTGCTATGTATGCGCAGGTTATTATGACATATATATGACATATATATATATACATATATATGTCCTGCGGCCGCAGCAAGCTTTTTTCAGACGACGTATGTATAATATTTCCTGCGGTCACAATAGACATTTTTTGGACGGCGTTATATACGCTTTCTGCAAAAAATTCAAAAAGATAAAAATAAGTGTAAAATTGCCAATAGTAATTCGAGAATATCTTTTCGTGACTTTTATTCATATAGGTTATTATACCAGTATAATAAAAAGATATTATTTTATTAATAATGGGACTGCAAAAATAATTACAGAATGGCGTAGCTAATTATGAAACAATGACGCGTATACGTCTGACGATGATTATATACCAATTGGCGCAAAATATACAGCAAAAATTTCGATTGATTCCAACATAAAACATCGTCGCAATATTTGCGTGGTGCTTGATGCGTCATGACAAATATTTGATACTTTACGAGAGACACTTGTGATAAAATTCTTTGTGCACAACAGTCACAATTTTTTAGCTTAACAATTGAGAGAAATACGATTATACGAATATGACTCAGCACTTTTTTGCGAAATGTTTTATATTTAGGCTGTGATTCAAAATGGCACTGGCAGTGCTGAAAACCTGTATATGTAACACAAACTATAAAATTGTCAGTACTAATTGCCAGTACTGACAATCATAATTATATATAGATTTGTAGTACGCATACGTCATAGGTTTTCAGCACTGCCGGTGCACTTCAGAGCACAATCTAACTACATTCTAAAATCCATCAAGATATGATGTTGCAATTTTTAGAACGTTAAAAACAATACTTCTCAAATTGAATGCAACTTGAAATTAAATTATTTGCTTACTTTAGTTAAACTTTCTATACTTAACATAAGATGTTGATTGGTTTTTAGACAGAGAAAGAGCAAAGAAAATAAGCACAAGAATGCAATTCAGCAAAATTATAATTTAACGTAGACATAAAATTCGGAATATTAATAATAAATATAAATATAAATAATAAACAGTAAAAATAATAAATTATTACGAAAAGATAATCGATCCACCTAATCATAGAATGACATCCATTATACATACCTAATGGTGATTATATAATTTTGCAATATTTCGATGAAAAAATAACCTGAAACGTACAAAGACGGTTTTGACTAACATTTCTACTGACTGTCTAAATCAAAATCGCAATATTGACGTATAAAAGCAATTGCACGCGAATTGTATGTATACGGATTTACGTATTGATGAATACTTCATGAAGTATTTCGATAATTCTTCGCACACAAAATTGAACGATAACAATCGTGAGAAATACGGAGCAGATTGCATTTTCATGATTTGTTGTGGCGCGTTCATAAAATGTCAAATATTTCAGATAGTTATCATCGATACCCGAAGATGGCAGCACCTGATGCATGACAAATAACTTCTATTGTATTATAAATAAAGAATATATAGATAGGTGATTGTAATCAAGTGCAAACACATTGCTTTTCTTGCGTGATCCAAATCCACTATGTGAATTATGTCTGTGCTCTAATGATATACTACGATTTGTAACGGTAATGAAGGATGCTCATCCGAGAGCGCCAAGTGGTCACTTTTCAGCTGATTGATTCGCGAATGTGTGTAACCTACAAAATCCTACTTCCAGATGCTCTGTATAAGACACGGGAAAAAGCACGGTACTTCGTTGCTGTTTAACTTAGTTCCTAAAGCTTTCTATTCACGTCGCAGTGATAAGAGTACAAGTTCCTACAAAGTTATCAAGTCCAATGGCGATTCTTTGGACGGTAAGTAATCTGAAGATTTCATCATTAATGTGTTACAAAGATGTCAATGTCATTGATTCCTGCAAATTAGCAAATCTGAATTCTATAATTTTTTTCTTCAACATTTTTATGCGCATTAAAAGCCACTTACATAAGTCGAGTCACATTACTGACCTCACTGACATTACTGATCTTACGTTTAGAGAAATGTCATTGATCTACAAAGCTATATAATTTAAAAATATGTGTTAATTGTAATTAAACATGTAGTGATAATGCTTTTACTAAAGATAGTAAAGTTACTTTTACAGCAATAAGTTGAGTGATAGAAGAACAACAATAATCCTTCAATTTAATTATTGAATCATAACCTCTTAATTTGATCTTGCTATAAATTCCTTATATTAAAGGCTTTTGTAAAAATTTATATTTTATATAAATCATCAAAACATATATTTATTTTACATATAAATATATATCAAATTAGATTTGTTATAAATATATTTTAAAAAAGCAGATATTGACAACAGTGTTTTGGGAACCAATTTGAACTGGGAGTTATTAACACCAAGAGGCTTCCGATTTTATCTGCCTGGAAGTGTAGGACCAGCATGGTTAGATGCTACAACCACTGCTCAAGTGAAAACTCAATTCATCGAACTATCCAATAATGAAGAGTTTATGGAATCTTTAAATGATAAAAATGAATTTCAAACAAACATAGAAAATTGGAAAGTCATACGGCCAATGTTGGACTGTGTGGCACAGGAATGTCCTATTCTTCTGCGAAAAAGTATAGAGGAATTATTTCCGGGATGTTTAGATGTAACTTCATCACAACTCACCATCATAACGATTAATCAAAAGGCAAATATTAAGTCAATGAGATGGCGCAAAGAAGCAGAAACAGAGAAACTTGCCAAATATGTGAGTTATATATATATTTATATAGCATCTATGTAAACAAAATTCTAAAATATAGAAGATCGAATGGAGAGGTGTGCAATATACATACATATACATTATTAGTCTATTAGTTTGTTCTAGCAGCCTCTGACATATGCACAAAGCTTAAAATGGTCGGCTATTGGGCAGACTTTATTAATCCCTTTAGTGGACAACCCTACTTAAGTGCACGGAAGGGAGCCAATCTATATGAAACTGACGAACGATTTCGCTGTGTAGGATTTAAAGTAGAACAAAAAAGCAATTGCAGAATTATCATGTCTGACAATAGTTTAAAAAATTTTATTGGTACGTATACAACCATATATGAAACATATACAACGACTGATACGATAACACTTTGTAACAATAGAGATATGGGTAGCTGTCTATTTATAATAATGTTCCGTTTATACAAAGCCATTTGTAATATTCAGGTTACATCGTTGCATTTTAATTATTTCTCCAATTTCAGGGAGTCTTTATACCACGGCGCCGCCAAGCACTGAGTTTTTAAAACAATTGATAAACGTTGAAAATGAGGATCAATAAAATGTACATGTGTATATAAAGAAAAGTGGTTAGTTTACTTACATGCGAGATCCTCTATTGTTAACGTTTTAAAAATTCTGGCGCATCTACAAGCGTGAATGATTAGAAAGTAACATTATAGAATGGATATGATTTAGTATTGAATTACGTGTCACAATGGATATGTGTTGACACATGGAGTGCAATTCATTTCTTCTATGTTTGAAAAAAATCCATTATTCTTTAGCAAAAAATTATATATTGCAATAAAACAATTTATAATTTTGACAAATTTTGTTTGAAAGAATATTTTTTAATAACCAAAGATAAAATATTTCTTTCCATTTGTATAATATCTCTATAAATTTAGGAAACAGTCTATAAAACTGCTGTTGATTCTTTCTTCAAGCTAATAAAATTATAAAAATTATGTAAAATATATTGGAGTTATAAGTTTAAATATCCACCACAAAGGTTCTTAACTTGAAATATGATTGTCTATCGCGTGTTAATATTGTACATAATCTTTTAATATTAAACTAAATTAAGTCATAATCACACAGACACATATCGTGCGCAATACATGTTAAATACACATGACAATGGAGATACGATCAGCATCACAATTCACAAACTAGCATAACAATAACTAAATAATCACAAAAATAATCATGATTATATTTATAAATCAACAAATTCTAATATCTGTTTACGCTTATCTAACAGCTTTGTTCCTTAACTCGCTATATAAAGCATCAGTTAATTAAAACGATGCAATCACGAGTGCATGCTAATTAAAACTGTGCGTCCTATTGCAACGGCAGCGAGGAACGTGTGACAGGTCACAATTTATCTTAACACAGTTAAAATAGTGACTTATAGATCATAGGTAACTTGGTACCACCAGCGGAATGATTATTAATTCGTACTACTAAACTTCAACTGTTACAAGACTTATGCAATAAGTATAACATATCAAAGTATATCTTATAAATTAACAGATAAAGTTATTCACAACGCTTTTTAACGTATTATTATATCAAATTATAAATTCTCTTACAGATTATTACCAACATTAATTAATGCACTACGATAATTAATTAGATTTATATTTTTCCTTTATGTTGTAACTATAATATCTAGAGAGAAACAGCTATGAATACTTAAAAATCGAAACTAGTTGATCAAAATCATCGGTGAAATTCCATAAAACATTTGCATACTCATTTAACATATTTACGATATGAATTAATATTTCTATAGTATAAATGACTATTTCGCTAAAGATACAAAATGTTTCAGTTTTTGGCAAAATAACTACTCGTTGATACGATCACACGAAAATAACTGTTAAAGTTAATTGTCTACTCGTAATATAAAATTGCAAGATAAAAAATGGAATACCTTTAGTCGACTTCTAACTTTCGGAACGAACCGCATATTCCGCCAAATTCTTCGTTGCTAGCCGCGTGGCAATCTTTTGATGAAATTTCGATGTGCATATCGTCGAGAGCCAAAAGTTCATCTCTCTTCTGCTTTAGATTATTTTTAAATTCGGCTAAAAATTGTACATACGTTATGCAACAACATAAAGAGCAAAATAAAAGTTTAAAATAAAATAATATCGATGTAGCAGATAGAAAAAGGCCAAAGTTAATGGAAAAATGTATTTGTGTAATGAGAAAAGAAATTCTACCTTCAAGAAAGAAAGTTAAGAATATTTCAAACCATTTTTTATAACGTCTTTTGCCTATCTATATCGTACGCTATATTCAAGAGAAAGAAAGGGAGAGAGTTACAAAAGATGAGCGGAAATTACCGTACCAATCATTTCCGAAAGCGGAACTTCCCCTCCGTATTCCTTCGGCAATATCTTCGGATCCATCGCCTCTCTCAATTCTTGCAAGTCTTTGTGCATCTGCCAACATTTATAAGCATGATTCGCTAATCGTGTGTAAATTTACAGACGAAGCTGATAATTTGCAGTATATTTACCATAACGCGCGATTTAAGCTTGTCGTTCAGCAGCGAGATAGCGAATTCAATGATCTTCGCCACGCTGCCGGGAATACTGATGAAGTGCGTCTCCTTGTGACGTACAGGAGTGCTGTTTTGTATGCATCTCAACATATTGCGAATGTCCGTGAAGGACCATGCGCTAAGATGGCTCATGGTCAATCCCGACTCGTCGTTGAGATGTATGTAGCCGTGAATCTGATTTTCCTCATCGTCCATCAGGGACTCCAGCACCATGCTGTGGATCCGTGCCATGTGTATCGACGAGAATTTGCAAGGATCGAAGCGTCCTTAAAACCGGGAAAGTAGAGTAAATAATTGACACGTTCGGAGAATTGCATCGCTTGCAACAAAAATACCTTAGACTCGATAATCGAACGTGTGATTAAAATTTTTCAGTCAAGGGTAATGAAGGGTTTGGATTTCGAAATAAGCGAAAGGCAACGTGTCGCTTTGAATCTCAATCATTTCACGTCGTGGCCGAGTTTGCAATTGATCTTTAGACTTTTGTATTTCTGCAATCGTTACCTGCGCAGGACAGTATCACTTTTCGACCTTGCTGGTCTCGTTTCGGCAAAGGCACCAGATAGCCGTTGTCGATGATGGCCTCGAGATCCGGGTCTTCGATGTCGAGCTTCTGGAACCACTCGGGATAGAGTTGCCTGATGGTGAGATAGCGTTCGAGCATCTCTTGCGCCATCGGCAGACTGAATTTCTTCGTTCTGAGAAACCTCAGCAGGAACAGCGAGTCCGTTCTGCACTTCTTGATCGCGGGATGTTTCTGGATCCAGTGTCGAAATTGCTCCAACGCCTGCTCCCTCGTGCTGTCGTCCTCGCGGAGCTCCAGTCTGGCCGTTTCCAGCGCGTTCGCCTCCAGCGTGCTCTTGTACTCGTCATGTTTCTGCTGTCCTTCCGTCACCATTGTCTGAAAAGTAATTCGAGCTTGACATCCTATCCCGATGGATCCTGTGTCTCGATTGAACAACGTTATCCCGATACTTCGTATATCTCTTGAAAAATAGCGTCAACGTAATACTTGAAAATATCACGTCGATCAAATTAGCTGACACTTGAACAAGTGGCTCAGCGGAAAAAGAGCATTGTATTATCGCAATTCAGGATTTAATTAGTATTATTATCGCCTTTTTCATTCTGGAAAATTGAAGCATTAATCATTGCAGACTTTAACATTGATAGAAAAAGTAAAGAGAATATAGTTGTCGTTAAAAATCTGAAAAATACAGGATTAAAATGAAAGAAAATTGAATTAGTAATCTTGATCGAACTACTCCGTTTTGTTCGCTTAGCAGTCGCTAATATGATATGGAGCGTAAAGAGAAAGCACTTCAGACAGAGCACCGAGATATTATTAGCGCGTGTTCGTGCAAAGAATTATATAAACATAACAAAGAAGATTGAGAACTAAACTCGCCTAAGATCACGATAACATTTCTTCTTTGATTATTTGATGCGTCTTAAGAAAACCTACACGTAATGTTTTTTATATTTAACTTTAATAAAATTAATTTCCATTCTCGTAAAGATTTTCATACTTGTAAAGTTCAGCATTCGAAATCCATTCTCAAAAAGAGCATGTTATGTCGATCGCTCGAAAATATTGAATTTCAATTGTCTTCTTTTCTGCAATGCCAATTATTCTCTCGTTACGCTTACACGGTTTGCATTGTAAGCGATTGTTGTATTTTGACATTTCATCTGCTAAAAAAGAGTTAGTAACAATTTTAATCATTAAGAATATAATTGGCGCGCATGTAACGTGACGTGACTAAAAAATAATCCTTCTATTATTTTATTGTCACGCAAACAATTTTCAAATAAATAGCATAAAAATTCTCACTCTATCATTTATATAAAAAAACTCGATTATTCAGTGGCCACTCCCAATAATTATTAATATTAATCACTTTCCTATTAATTTTCACTTTTACGAATAAAATGGAAAATCGGTTAAGCATGTGTCAACGTTAATTAATATCAATGTCGAAAGCGTACTATATTATTGCGTTGCGATTGAAATCTTTGCGTAAAGGATCTATCAATCACAATCTTATTCAATTCTTATAATTCCACACAAACATACAACGCTCAAGCAACTCCCAGAATGAAAGTGAGACATTGAGAGGAAGTAGTATACGAAGGGGCCTCGCCGCTGCGCAACGAGAACACACACATTTCGCGGCGTGCTATATTCACCAAGCACGGAACCAACTTTCTATCGCGACACCCAAAGCGCAATACCGTAAACGCACGCGAGCGTAATATTATTTCTGCACACCAAGAGAATGGTATTGCGATCTCGAACTATCGATAAATTTCTGCGATACTAGTTTTCGTACATGATAAGTGCTAAACTTTCATGTTCGAAAGCGATTGCAGCAATTTCTATTTTAAATCAATTATGTCGTTTGCAATTTATAAAACACAATATCACCGTTTATCCGAAGCACGTCGTTGCAAAAAATCTCTGGCAGTGGAAAAAGTAACGCTATCGCGGGGAAATTATTGCGGGAACTCGATGAACGGGTTACGTTGATCCACTTTTACCGCTCATGTTCGCCGAACACTTTTGCAGATGGATGTAACGAGGATAAATCTATCCGCGAGAGAAAAAGCTCTCAGTTGCGCCTTGTAGAAGTTTTAACTCAATCTTTCGATTAACCGATCAATTTAATAGTTCCGGTTTCTCGCTCTCGGGCTTTCCGATGTCCGCTTTCTCCTTTTCCGTTCTGCCTTCACGTGTCTTTCCTTCAATCGCGCGCATTAAATAGATTCTATCGTTCATCTGTTAAACGAACAGAACGAGCTCTCGTGACTTGAAAAAATTTTATATAATGAACATTTTTTTTTATTTACACATATCTGAAAATCCTGATCTATAATAATATTACTTATCCAAATTTGTTTATACTTGTTATTGTAGTCGCGTATATAGAGAATTTTTGATGAAAAAATATTCCTTATTTAAAATAGATTAATAATTAATACTCGATATAATATTCAGCTTACTTTTTCTTGTTTTTTCTCCTTCGAAGATTACTTCCTCTCTTCTTCACGTTTCTTCAAAGCTATAATATATCGTCGCTTGGACGGATTCTATCAAGTTGAAGTCTAATCAGTTGAAACTTTTAATCGATATTGCACTGCTTTGATCTCTCACTTGATGACTCGGAGCACGCTTTACTCGCGACGAAACGAAGATTTAACAATAAATAAGCGCGGCTACCATGTAGATTCGAGAAAGACGTCGACTGTCCGACGATGTACACCGAAGTAACCCGGTTGCTCAGCCGGCTGGTCAATTTAAGGAGGAATCGTCGTGGTGGTGCACCTAACTCTCGAGACGCGGATGGACTCTCAGGACCTTCACCTACATCCCAGTGACGTTCTCCGTCTCTGCGAGCAATGTTCGCGAAGAGCGTGATCGCGTATCTATCGTCCAAGTATTTCTGTGAATAATAATTATAAAATATTTTAAAATAATTAAAGAAAGAAATTGATAAACGTATCTGCATTCGTTGATTCTATTCATGAGCAGATAAATCAATTCTAACACTTTGATAAAACTTGAACGTTGAAAAACTTTTCGTTGAAAAAACTTTGATGAAATCAAAATTTATATTTTCTAATTTTTAATAGTGTAGAAAAAAGTAATTTTTTATAGAATAACAGGCACATTAATCATTAATTGACAAATAAAAAATTGAATAAAATTATTTTTTGTCTGAAGAATTCTGATTACGCAGCAAGAAAATTATGTTTCGTAAAACTTGTTTGCCATAGACGTTAGCAAAGAAGAAATCATGAATATTTTAAATATTCCATTAGTATTTGCCTAAAGCTTGAATCTGTTGTTCAATTGTATTATCAAATGTAAATATTTTCACATAGAGTGAATAAAAAATTCCTAAGAATCATAAAAACGAATAGAATATGAAATTACACATCTTTGTATTGAATCTTCTGAATATTCAAGTGAAATCTCTGTGGTAGTCTCCAAGTGGTGTCTCTGCAAATATGACATTTTTTCAAAAGTATTGAAAAATCAATTTTGTGCATTTCGTTAATTGTTGCTGAAAAATATCTTACTAATATTGATTAATATGTTTATCGTTTATGATAATTTCTTATTGACCATTTTATATTGCAAATCATCAAATAAAAATATTATATCAATGCCAACGTCTTGCTTTCTTCGCTGTAAAAAGTGCCGAAGAATCGTCGCACCATTCTCGAACGCCTCCGCCCACGACGCTGCTGGGAGATTCACTTTCTTCTCGTAATCTTTCATTTTGCTTTCACCGCTCTTTCGAATAAGGATTGCCGAGCGCTCCGATGAATATCACGGTCATTTTTCACTTCAGCAACATCCAGTTCTGTTGCCTTTTGTGCAAAATAAATTTTCTTGACAAAATTAAACATGTAACTTCCTGTAATAAATTTTTTTTTCTATCTTTGATGCATATTTTTCTTATTGTATTCTGCTAAATAACATAAAAGAGCTAGAAGATCTTATATAATTTTGATTTATAATATTATGTAACTTGTTACGTATTCCACAAAAAATAGGGAACACTTTTTAGATGCACAAAATTAAGCAATTTTCAAACTGTTGAAATTCGGCAAAAAATTAAAAAAGTATTGTAAAGTTTAAACTCGTAATATTGTATAGTATAAAGTTATAGTAGTGTAATGTTATAGTTTTTGACATTTGTCATAAATTTTGCTTCGTCGAAATTTTTTTATCGAGTTGCAGAGTGTTGAACGTACACAACTAATTTTCAAATATTTTATTTTTTTAATATAAAAAGCTATATTTTAAAACATATAAGAAATTAATTATCTAAAATAATCGAATTAATTAAATAAAAATAAAAATTTAAGTTTATGTATGTATCTCTAAATTATCGATAAATTAGAATGAATGGCTAAACAGTTTTATCCAAAGCTAGGATTCCAATATCATACGTGCGAAGACACGTGTAAAATTATTTAACTTGTAAAATAGAAAAGAAATTTCAAAACAGTCGTTTACCGTTCAAACATACCGAGAAACACTTGTTTGCCGTGATATTTTTTATCCTGACGTATAAAGAAACGTATGGCGAATAAAATTACGTATTTGTAACGAATGCGGAACATCGATCGTTTAATTCTTAACTTTAACATTGAACTTGATTAAGAAGCAGAAGACTTGGCATAAGAAGAGTGTTGCGCGAGTATTTTCTATAGAGATTTATGCTAAAAATAACGGCACTCTATTCGTTCGGTGTTCTAAACTTGTCAGTCACTAAAATCTGGTTTCAAAGTGACAGTCTCAATTTATGCTTGCACACGCAAATTCCTTTTACGCGTTTCTAGAATTGTTTTGCTTTACTAAACTATCCTTCGCAGACGCCGGTAAAGAAATTTTTTTTTTCCAACTTTATTCTGTATAGTATTAAATCTATGCAATCTATCATTATAGAAGACTCGAAGTTTTCGCTTCTCTTTTCAAAAACAATAAATATACCATCATTAAATTTGCTTAAATTGAAAATTAAAATCGAATGTATATATTTGGTCCCATTTCGTTAATTCACTAATTCCAGAATATAAAAACGCAAAATTGGTGTCTGATAAAAGTAAAGTTACGACACTGACAATAAGTGAAATTTAATTTTTTAACGTATTCTGTGAAGAAAGCATGGATTTCCGGAAGTAGATAATATTTCGCTCATCAATTCAGTTAAACCCATTTGGAAAATCGAGGATTTTATTCCGTCTTTTATTCTGTGAAATTTATCCGCAAATGCTCGAACCGGACATACCGCATACCTGTGTATGGCTACGTAAATTATTGTGTAATCGATCGTTGCCACAACAGCGTTTCTTGATGTTCGCATCGGTGAAAGGAACGGGACACTGTATATCGTAGAATATCTATTTTGCCTTCCTATTTCTCTCTGCGTTTTTCGATGTTAGAATCAATATTCTTGTCTTTCTTAGCGCGCCTT